GCTGGCCAGTAATCGGCCATCAGTATCGGCCAAGAAAATATTTATTGGTGCACCCCTATTATAAATAATTTTTAACTTCATATATTTATATGCAATGCAAGATATAAGTGTAGAAACATACTTAATATTTTACCATTTTTAAACTCTAAAATAGCCCATATTTTAAGCAGTTGTATAAATGAAAAACCTTATAAATAAAAGTAAATCTAAGAACAATAATTGGAAAAAGAAACTGCTGCTAAGTTAGCTTTGTGGAGTGCTGTTTACTGTAGACTAGAATTTTGCGTTTCTTTTAGGGCCCAGTTCTACAGAGATTCCTGCACATATGTAAAAATGCTTTCTGAGTGGAGGTAGGAGAAAGGGCCAAACAAATGGCATCCTCCATAGAGGCTGGAAGAAGGTTGCATCTTCCCTAGCCTGTTACATTTAGATAGAGTTTTCCTGGATTTTGAGGCACTTGGGACTTGAGGACTAGTTTGTGATAATGTGGACCTGAAATGCTAGATTTAGAGCATTTAGAGCTGAAAAATGAAGAAGACATCTAAGGTGCAAACTTCTTCATCCCTAATGTACCTCTTCTCTGATCTAAGAGGCTACTTTTGTATGGGTGAGATTAGTTTAGATATGCCCATTCAAAACTAGGTTTCTCAGTTTGACATGGCCAGCTTATACAGTCGTTTGGAGTCTTTTCCCCCTTTGGGGGAAAGCTATACTTCATCCTGTTTCAGGTAGACTACAGAAAAATCATCCTATGGTGCTGTCACCTGCTAGAGAACTGGTTGGGAGTTGAACAGTGAGCTGTAGATCAGCACTGTATCCCATTGCTCATCTTCCTAAGACCTCCAGCCTTACTCTCAAAAAACAAACATATAAAATTGTTAAAATCATTTTCCATGTTGTAATTAGCTGGTACGACCTGAGCTCTGTTCATATATTTGCACTGGAAATGATGGTATTACAAATACTATGTGAAGTAGAACAGGGGATCTTACTACCTTAACTATTACTATATTTACTTGAGTACAAGATGAGGTTCCCCCCCAGTCAACATGGAAGAAAAAACCCGTCATCTTACATTCATATACAAAGAAATCACATAAAATGCATTGCCTGTCTTTGAACTGCTGCTAAAAGCTGCATGTCCTCAGTAATGGAAACCAACTATCAAGTTGATTAAATGTAGTCAACACCCAGCATGACTATACAGTACATGGCCCATATGGGAGCATACCACAAGGAAAGGTTAGAGCAACCTATCGGAATAAGGCATATGATAGTGTTCCCCATTGAACGCAGTCCCCCTCAGTGCAGACTCTGTTACAAGTCACAGTGAGCCACTACACTGCATATATTTTGACTTCCTCTTTATTCCCACAGCTGAGATGCAACTTTCTGTCCCTTTTCCAAAATTCCTGTTTCTTCACTAGCCTTAAATGTCTGGCAGACATCAGCAAATGTGGCCCCTAGTACTTTACCTAGAATCCCTGTCCACCCCTCTCTTAACCTGTTGCATATTAGTGTCACCCCACCCTCCATGAGGTAAAACCTGACCAGATTGCCTTATGACTCATCAACATATACATTTTTGGAGGATCCCAGGACTCATGACAAGAACACCTGGTTCCAGTCATGGGGTGGGGGTGCTAATTAGCACATATAGAGCCTTTGTGGTGGGTACTGGAGTACACACACATACAGAGCAGTGCTGAGCTACAGGGTCATTATGGCTTGAAATGCTGCTGACTGGTGGGGACCAGCCCAATGAACTACATGATAAGTCATGAGCCTTTTGGCTTTGAGCTAAGTGTGTGTTCATGGTGCTGTTATTGTAACAAGAATGAGAACGGCACAACTATAAAGGTATGGTTTGGACTGTTGAGTGAACCATATTGGTCACAAGACTGATCTGTAGAGGTATAGAGTGTGTGTGTGTGTGTGTGTGTGTGTGTGTGTAAATCTGTTTTTGCAAAGAAAAAAAAGTTTATACTTTCTCTAAGTAGATGCTGAAGTGCTACTATGTATTTATGGAATACCTGTGCAAAAACTTGCAGTGGTTTCAGAAAAGATGAAATGCATCAATTCTGGGTGAACTTAGTCTACAGGTACTACTATATGCAAATTCCTACAGCTATGGGGGGTGGGAAAGGCTGAAGGGGAAAAAAGTTGGGGGTGGGACCTGAGGGCAAAGTAGTTACCTAACTCTCCCAGATTTCTTTTCCATGCTGTAGCAGTGGGAGGTTGACAAATTCAAGACAAACTTCCAATAATTAGTTCTATACCTGGAAAATTAAATCAATTTTATATATCTTCCATATATAGAATCTCATTATTGGGGAGGTCATCTTATAATCAAGGTCATCTTCTATTTGAGTAAATATGGTAATATTGTCATTGGATGTTACAGACAAAACAAAACTTGGAATTTAGGTCAGTCTGATATGTTTAGAACTTCTCTCTGTTCTTCCAGTGTGAGCACCATGCAAATGTTTGTTAGAGCAGAAAGATATATGAGACTACTTTAGTCTTTATGACTTAGTCTGTGTCACTTTTGGTTCACTTTAGAGACTTAATTTGTCTTTCAGAGGTGACAGCCAGAGCCATTCCCAGGGGGTGTGCAGGGCCCAGGGCATATCAGCCTGTATGGGGGTCGGGGGGGGAGGGAGGAGGGGAGCAGCCGGAACGTGCACTGGGCAGTGGATAGGTGGGTAGTAGTAATATGCTGTGACACCAATTTTTATGTGTTCAAAGTATTTACTCAAGATGGATATTCAAAAAAGGGAAATGAGAAATGCCTTGTACTTGAAATCACAGATGAATTCTGTATATACAGGTGTTCGTGTAAGTTACCCATTAT